TCGCAAAACTGGTATTTTTTCAGTTTCAGATAGTATAACTCGGCGAGATGTGAGCGCACGAAGCTGAAACTTTTGGTATCGATGGGTGACAAAGCTACGAGCTAAATAAAAAAAAATTTTGAAAATCCAATCAGCCGAAGCAGAGTTATTAGGAACCTAAATGAAAAAGATAATTGTACAAAAAAGTTACGATTCGCTCATATACCATAGGTGAAAAGACGGAATTCTTTCTTTCATTGAATCAAAGCATTTAACTAGTTGAATATTTTGGATTAAAACACAGTAATAAAATCTTTTTCCAGTGTCATTATTAATGTGTGCGTTTATATTATCTAATATTTCTCACACATTTTCATCCTCTTTTTATTTTACCACGAGACACAGCATGCTTGCTTATGATATGATCTTGTTATAACGGATGGGCCAGATAAAATCAGCCACTTTTGTTCGTTGTTTTTGAGGTACCGTTCAGTAGTTCCAAGAGTTCTTTTTAAAGTCAATCGATAGAGAATTGAATTCTCTACAAAACTTGTAATTTTAATCTCGGATAGCATTTTTTCCGTTTAAGCACCATTCAATATTTCGAATGGTGCTGAGTTGTCGAACTGCGATACATTGAAAATAGAAAAATATTTGCCCTGATCCAAAAACAGATTCCATAAGAATTTTGAAAACATCAGAAGATTCACAAGAAAGTTCTGCATGTTCTCACGTATTTTTCGAAATTTTTGCAGCTCACTTTTCTAGAAAATTTCGCTATGCAAGAACCTGATAAATCCAAAAAAGCCTAACTTCTGAACCTATTCTCAAAGACTTTAGTTTTTTGGCTAGAAAAGCAGTAAAACGTTTTGAATCCAGGATTTTAGTCTTACCACCTTACACAGAATTAAATTCTGCATTTTTGATATATAAAGAAAGTCTCTCAGTTCAAATCATTAATTAAAACAATTAATTTAATTTGTAAAAATTGAAAAGCCGGTTAAGAACTAATTTTGACTCCAGCTAACGTAATGAAAATATTGTATGAAGTTGTATATCAGTGAGATCGATGGAGCACAAAACTCTCTATCTTTCTACCTAGAAAATTAACTATTGAACCTCAGACAATGGGATAAAAATCTCAGAGAAGAAGACGTCGACAGGCGGGTCGCAGTTCGACAACTCAGCACCATGCGAAATATTGAATGGTGCTCAAACGGGAAAAACGCTATCAGAGATCAAAATTATAGCTTTTGTAGAGAATTCAATTCTCTATCGATTGACTTTAAAAAGAATCCTTGGAACTATTGGATGGTACCTCAAAAACAACGCACAAAAGTGGCCGGTTTTATCTGGCCCACCCGTTAGTGTGACAGTAGTCTTATAACAAAAATGTCTTATAGTGCTACTAAGAGTTCAAACGAGAGAGTGTTTGTTGGTTTGATACTTTTCTTAATCATAATCTATGGAAACTAATTAACTATAAATTATATAACTAACACATCAAACAATAATTGATAAACTCAGAAAATCAATCATATTGTGATATTTTCTAAACATAGAAACACTTGACTTTTCAAGATCCAAACATCTCGACCAAGTTCTAATTTTTCATCAATATTGCTACCTGGTAGATCAGTGAATAATACTGTCGATATTTTTCTATGAAGTATGATATAAGGTGAATAGTGGAATGAGAAAAAAAATTCCTCTTTTCTTTTCTATCGTATGTTCATGGCGATAGGCGACAACGACAGTGAACAAACAATTCCGACATCATCAGCAGGGGTGCTTGTTGATCGTTTGAGATTATATACAACAAAAATATTGATCTGATTAAAGAGAGTTTGAGTTATATGATGTCACTATTAGAAGTATAAAAATATCTTTTTTCAAGGTAAAAAGATAACAATTACAGAGTTTTAATGCACAGTGGGAGAATCCGAAACTCTATAATTATTAAGAAATTTTGAGAATGTTTGACATTTTCACTAATACGCTAATTGAAAGAATATGTTCGATAAATAAGGATAAAATAATAAATGAGATAAAAGATAATAAAAGAGATATTTGAGCTCGGTGTACTTAATTGGCTTTAAAATGAGAGAAATGAGCTCGGTTGTAATAAAATTATATTTTTTTATATAAATGAGAGTTTTAAGCTCGGAAATTAATTTAAACTCTAAAAAGAGACAAATGAGCTCAGTAATTAATTTATGAAAATTAATTAATGATTTTATCAGTAGTAAAGTATATTTAATAAGAGAAAAATAGTTCAAGAACAAAAAAGGTGGTAGATTACAATAGTTTTTCACTAATATTCAGTCTTTTGTTAAAGCTAATTTAACTTTCTTTGGACGACTCTTTCCCCTTCTTATCCCAAGTGTCTGTGGAACTTTACGATGATCCCACATCATTAGTAAGCCCAATGAATGAACGCAAGAGTATTCCTTAAGGCCATATTTGCATGAACAAAATAATGGTGGAGTCAAACGAGAAAATCAACTAAACGCGCAGAGTTTAACCAGTCAATTAATTCATCGTACGAATTCCAAGACATACTATGATAATATTGTACCCATAATGATGTACCCATTTTTTGTTCAGAAGAAGGTACAACATAACTAGCTGCACCTAAATGTAATACTTTTGTTTGATCAAGTTTTTGTAACCATTGATATGCCTTAACTGCCAAATCATCAGCAAATTCAATTTGAATAATGGTGTATTCGTGCTAGCTAATGACCAGTCATACAACACACGTTCAGCTGTTTGTAAGAATGATGACAATGACAATTTGTTACGTAATGTGTACATTTGTTTGATTTTATGATTCAACGATTCAAGACCGTTATTAGTAGATGGACTAAGATTTGCACTACCTTCATACCAAAATGGTAATGATAATAACCACTGGTTTTCAACATATTTTCTAAATGCATCAGGGTCTTTCTCAGCAGTCCATTTCATTATCATCAAACTAGCTGCGCTATCAAATAAATGATCATTAAAAACTAATTGTAAACTGACGATATCTTTTTCAATAGCCAACCATTTTTCTTTATCTACTACCAATTTTCGATGTTCACGACTCTTATGGATTACGTGTGTCCAACACATAAGTGGACGTGCTTGTGGTAATTTACACATGGCACTGTAATGCCAGCAGTACCATCAGCCATAACATGAGTATCATATGGCTGTTGAATGATTAGTGGTACAGATGATTTTAATACACGAAATAAAGTTTTAAATATATCTGCTGATTCATATGTTGATATTAAACATAATCCTAATGGATGGAAATGACGATTTAAATCTGATGTTCCAAAAATGAGTAAAGGTAATTCATTCCATGTTATTTTATATGTACAATCAATAGCCAATGCAGATGAATATTTACACGCAGATAATAGCTGACGTGTAGTAATAAAAGTAAATCTATGATTAATATCAATAGCTTCATAATATGGCACAAATACGTCATGCAATTTATCTGGAGATGAACAAGATATTGGTTACACCAAGTTTGCAAATCATCAATTCACATTATACCTTTACGAGTTTTTAAACGACTATACTGAACAATATTTTTAATTTTTGTGCGTACGGTTAAACTTGGATGAATTACTGACACAACTTTTCTGATTTGTGTTTGTGTCATACCTTTATTCGACATTTGGTGAACACTATCCAGAATAGGCGATTTGAGACGAGTTGTATCATTACGTTGATCATGATTATGCGATTCAGATTTAAATACTGTAAATTTATTATTGGATTCTTTTAATTTTAATTAAAAAAGACAAACAGGATATTTTCTGTATTCCGTACAACCATATGTAATAGTTTTACCAGCTTGAAAATGCTCGGTACGATAAGTAGAAACTTTATTTTCTTTTGTCAAAGATATGATATCACTTTCAAAAGTAGAAGAGAAACATTCGTGCGAAGTTCGGCGAGACATTATGAAAGAGCAGATTTAATTGAGAATGTACTGATGGGACATGCATACAGACTTATATAGCTATTTGAGTATCAAAAGCTCATCGATTTGTATCTGATGAAAAAAAGCTCATCAATTTATACAAATTAAAGCAAAGACTTAATAATGGAAAATGGAACAGTATGTTGTCGAAAATGGGATCATCGTAAAGTTCCACAGACATTTGGGATAAGAAGGGGAAAGGGTCGTCCAAAGAAAGTTAAATTAGCTTTAACAAAAGACTGAATATTAGTGAAAAACTATTGTAATCTACCACCTTTTTTGTTCCTGAACTATTTTTCTCTTATTAAATATACTTTACTACTGATAAAATCATTAATTAATTTTCATAAATTAATTACTGAGCTCATTTCTCTCTTTTTACCGACGAAAATAAAATCTACCGAGCTCATTTGTCTCTTTTCAGAGTTTAAATTAATTTTCGAGCTCAAATATCTCTTTTTCATTAGATTAATATATTCCCGAGCTCAAAACTCTCATTTATATATAAAAATATAATTTTATTACAACCGAGCTCATTTCTCTCATTTAAAGCCAATTAAGTACACCGAGCTCATTTAATTTTGCATCCCATAAATAATGGCACACACATATAAAAGAAAAATGTAAAATATTTCATTAAATGAATAGAACAGAGCTAATTAGTTAATATTTTTCTTTTCATCAATCCCATCGATTTATTAAGATATAACATAAAAGTTGTTACTTGTGACTTTGTAAACTATATCTAGTATAATTCACTTTTTTGATCTCCGCCCAAGCAAAAAATCATACATGAAAATATCTAGATATTTTATCGTTGTATTGGGCAATCCCACTATGAAATATCTAGATATACGTGTCACTTTTATTGGATTATCTAGATATATTGGGTATGTTATCTAATGCAGACATCCTGCTTTCTTTAATATATTGGTGTATTATTGCTCAATATATTGACTTGATATGAATAAAAACTTTCTAAATTTATTGAGTATATGTGTTACATATACAGGTGCTGTGTCTGCAAAACAAAAAGGTGAATAATCGGACCGTCGATATATCGGGTAATATTTTGGGCAAGTTCGATATATTGGGTATGGTATTGGGTTATCTAGCTTGGATTGCCCGATACTCAATACTTTCTTTTTACCTGTATCTAGGTATATTGGGTATCGAATTGGATTACCTAGATAGGATTGCCCAATACTCGATATTTTTTAGTCGCTTGGGCATGGAAAATTAGTAGACTGATACTATAACTATGATCTGTGGTTGGGACGATATTCTGAGTCTTTTCTATGTCAATTTTTTACTACATTTTTCAGGGCGATCCAATCGAGGCGTATCCCCTGCTCTTTATGATTTTGTCAGAGTAAATAGTCCGCACTTAAGAATAGATTTTTTATTCCGTACTTTATGTGTCCATTCTCTACTTCAAAAAAATCACGGGGCATTCCTGGCTTTTTGTACATAAATAAGAAATCCAATATAATCGGTTATAATTTTGATATCAGCAATAGTTTAGTGCGTAGTCAAAAACTTATCCACTTGATTCACCATCTTCCTAAAATGCATCGAAGAGAAAATACTATTTGAAAAAATGTTAACATTTAAAAACCGTTTTAGATTTTTTTTCTTTTATTCCCGTTCAATCGGTACTTCGTATGTACTTTTCTATTATCCCGGGTGATGGTCTAAACAGTAGCTACAGTAAAAGTGAAACGACTAATCGATAAGATAACTGCTAAATAACTGTTAAAATAAGTAATTAAAAAATACACTAAAGTGGAGTAAGAATCGTCAAAATCTTAACCGAAATCGTAAATGAAGGAAAGTTTTTAAATGTTCGAAAAGGATATGATTCAATTCAAGGTCACTATTGTAATGGTAACTTCCTCTTCCATTCTATAAACGAGATTTTCATGGCTATACCTCATACTAACTTATTTTTCTTTATTTGTTAAAAAATTCAAATAGCAGCTAATTTTACCCATTTGAGTTTATTTTTGGTCTAATTTCCATTTACATCTTTTTTTTTTTACGCCGAGATTTTACGTCGGGATTTACGCATCTTTATATGATAAACATTGTTCTTTTTTGTATATTAGATTAATTGTTTTTGCTAGCTTATTTTCGAGATTTTGAGCAGAACTATACTGAATTTTTACTTAAAACTCTTTGCTCTTTTTGGTTTAAATAAATGGATTCAGTGAATGAAACATACACAAAAAGGTTCAAGAACAAAGAAATAAAGCATCGTAAATCCTTGAAACGAATTAAATTAAACAGTGTCCAGTCAAAAAGTCGTCGACATTATCTATTAATCATGACTTCAAAACAGCCTCGTACCGTATCAAATACTGAAATTCGAGAACGAATGCTAAAAGTACAGAGATGAATATTTTTCTGTGTGACAATCATATCAAAGATATAGGGAATTTTACAAGCTATTGGTCCGAGAACAGCTCTGTTTGATGGAGTAAAAACATGTTTTGAAGAAATAGATCATTTAAGAAAAAACAATGGATTAACTGATATGATAAAGTGTATCATTATGCATGGAGATAATTTTAGTTCAGAGAATACTAGTGAACAATAGAAACAATTTATGATAAAACGTTCAAAAGAACTACATATTAAGTAAAAGGTGACTAATAGAAAACTGTCAGATCGTGACAAGAAGGTCTGAAAACGTTAAAAAAATGATTATGAGTTGCCTAAATTTTATTTTTGTGTGTTTTATGTCAATAAGTGTGATCAACTGCGGTTAACCATGAAGTATTTTCGAAGCTTCAATTAACTGTGGGTTGTGCATGTTTAAAAGTAAACAAATAAAGTTTCAAAAACAGTAAGCCGATACTTTGACTACTGCGGACCTTGTAAGGAAAACGAAAATCGCAGATGTTGATCATCGTTTTTGTTTTGCTAAGCCTAACACGTACAAAAACACATGATAATTTCTTACAAAACTTAGAATTACTCTCAAAAATTTCTATCTCTGCATAAGAATATGCACACTTCAAGGTCAATTTGCTTTTGACAATTATGGACGGAAGCGACAAATCGATGTTCATTAAAAAGTATGGTTTTGCCAATTTCTCAATAGTTTTCAATTTTTTCAGTTTCTTAGTTCTCAATTTTTTAGTCACCTACAAGACCAGTCGGCTGGTTTTCGAATTCGGTGCACACTGATGATATAAACTAAAAATATTGTCTATACGTGTCTTAAAAATGAATACACTACCAAGCAGATCATTCATAAATATAAATGAATTGTTACACGTTTCTGTTAATTCGTAAAACTCCTCAAGAACGGAAACAAAAAGAAGAGAAAAATTAAAAATGAGATCAGTCTGGATCTAGATAGAATTAAGAACAGATATAATTCTCTTATATGAAATATATTCTTTGTGCAATAATCAAAGTCTTTCATAATATTTTAGTAGCAGCGAGTAGTTTAATCAATCGTACCATGAATACATAAGACAGAGAATCTGCTGGAGGTGTTTAGCAAGAGAGAAAAGAGGATGTAAATGAACTACCATTCTGAATAAGCCTGTAAAAGCTCACGTTTTGTTGCTTAAACGTGAACCTTAAAGCACTGGTGAACGTGGGCTGTTTTTATACGAACGGTGTTCATATTGTCTCAAGTAAATATAAAACTCTGTTCTTGTACCGTAGTAAGAACATATATATTTCTACTTGATCTTATCTGGTCAACAGAAGCTCTAGTGAACGATCAGATGGCCTGCTCAAAGCAGTGACCAGATTATTGCAATGTAAAAGGATAGCCATTGATTCTTTCAAGAACAAATCGCCGATTTCCTGACTAGAAGACTAGTTTTTCCTGCAGTGGAACCGAAGTTCCTTGTTCAAAACTATTTCCATAACCACATACTTTGTTATCATAACCTATTTCGGAGCTAATGACCGTTGATCTTTCACTAAATATGACTGGCAATGGAGAAAGCTGTTTTACTTGGTATACTATTAGCTGAAATTGCTATATAACGTTTTGTAATACTATTCATTCCGCACAAAATGAATACCGTTCATATGAAATAAAGTTCGCGTTCATCAGAACATTAAAATACAATAAATTCAAAAATGAATACATCATTACCTTCGGCAATTTTAAACGTACTACCACCATTATATAATATAAAGAATTAGAAAATGTTAACTCGTGGCTGTTTGAAGTAGAAGAAATATTTTAACTTAAAAATAAACAACATGAATAACAATTACATTATATATCAACATTATTAAGAGAAGCTACTTTACAATGATGACCTAATGAACAAACACAAATAAATGAAAGTCATCGTCCACAAATTAAGACATTTGATAAATTTAAAGAGCGAATTAAGTCGAATTTTCCAGCACCATCTTATCAACAATTATTACGCAGACAATTGCGTTCACTAAAACAAACTGGTAGAGTTCAAACATATGTTTATGATTTTAGAAACGCATTAGGTCAAATTGATAATATGGACAGAATGGACAAGGCTATATTTTTTTAAGATGGTTTAAGAGGACATACAAAAGCCGAAGTCAATTATAGTGCACCATGTTACTTGATTTGACTTCCACACTAAATGAAGCTATACAAGCAGCAATAGTATATGATACGGCACAATTCACAACAATAGCAGCATATGATGAATAACATGAATCAACATCATCGTCATTAAATATAATAGATCAGCACGTTATGGTTGACAACAACAAGTGCAACAACCACCGCATTGCGGACAAAAACACGAATGCTGAAGAACCATTTGTTATGAGGGCATTGGGTCATGTAAGTGAATTAACGACCATTAGTGGATTAATCAACAAATAACAAATATTATCTGTTATCGAATCGGGCGCAACACGAAACTTCATAGAGAAATCAACTATTGAAAAAGCAAATATTCGTTACCAATCAACAAAACAAGTTGTAAAATTAGCTGATAATTCTATTATTTATACAAATGACTTAGTTGATGTTGATATTAAATTAGATAAATTTAAAGATTGGCTGCATGCACATGTTTTACCATTAGATTGTTCTGATGTAATATTAGGGAAGCCACCGTTAGTCAAAAACAATCCGTTAATCGATTGGACAACAGATACATTGACAATACATCAAAATGAGCAAATATATATATTAAAATCAACAATAAAATAGAATATAGTAAATGTTTATTAATAACAGCAAATAAACTAAAACATGGACTTAGAAAAAATCAATTTAATACATGTTATGCTGCATTTTCACGGGATTTAAGTGAAAATGTACAATACAATAAACCAAAATGAGCAGATAATTTTCTGAACAGATATTCTGATGTATTTAAATCCAAGTAATCTAATGGACTACCACGTGATCGAGGTATTAAACATTTAATTGATACGGATACAGCATCACCTATCAAAACTCAATGTTATCGTACGAGCCCAGCTGAATTAGATGAACTTCAAAACACAAATTAAATTATTAATAGATAAGGGCCTTATTAGACCAAGTCGTTCACCATGGATTTGTTAGAAAAAAAGATAATACAATAAGAATGTGTGTAGATTATCGTGCACTAAATCGTGTTACAGTTAAAAATGTTCATAGTTTACCACGTATTGATGATTGTTTTGGTTGACTAAATGGTGCAGAGCATTTTATAAAATTAGATTTTGTAAGTGGTTATTGGCAAATAAGGATTTTGAATGATGATGTATCATAAGCATCATTCGACAAGCAAGGTACGAGAGTTATGAATTTTTAGTTATACCGTTTTGTTTATGTAATGCACCAAGTACATTTCAATTATTAATGAATTCTATTTGGGGTGATTATTTGGATAAATTTGTATTAGTGTATTTTGTCACATTATGACATAAATACGCGCTCCAGAAGTGAAATATCATTGTTTCCAAGTGTATGGTATAAGTGTAGACCCGGCTAAAGCTAAATAATAAACAAAATATGTCTATCTAATACCCATCTATTAATTGATTCGTTTGGTATAATTGACTTTGACTAGCTCACGGTGAGCGTCTACAGTTATTCACATTAGGAAACGATGCTGATCGAAAAGAACTTTGAAAAGAATTTAATAAGCATGCACATCAATCATAAAAACAAGAAAATTAAATAGACACAGTGTCGCTGATGAGGACGGCAATCTTTTTAACCAAGGAAGGACATTATAAATCGGATTTCCCTTTATACACGCTTATGTAAATTCGTAAAAGTCCTTAACAACGAAAACGAAAAAGAGAGAAAAATTAAAAATGAGATAAGTCTTGATCTAGATAGAATTAAATACACAGACATAATTCTCTTATATGAAATGTATTCTTTGTAAAATATAGAGTAAATGTACTTTTGATCACCAAATTTTCAGCATAATCTCACATTTTTATTTCTCAACAATGTATAATGTACAACACAAACATATTTACTGAAATATTAACCAAATGAACAATATTTTTACAGTTTTTACAGTTTTTTTCATTTGCCTAATGGTTGAATACACCAGAAAATTATTGAATGTATCATTGGTTAGATATTTATCGTTCTCGTCGGTGGTTTACACTCAATGATTTTCTGGTGTGGTAACAATCCTGTTAGCTTGTTGTACCATTAGAATTATGTAACTGTCCGATTAGCATGAAAGTATATTCGTGTAAACATTCTGTTGGATTAGCAATTTTATTTAACTTATATCAAGTTAGCGATGAAACACGTATTCAACTAGTAGGCAGACGAAAAGCAAAAGGGCCTCCCAAGGAAGTTAGCACAGCTTTAAATTTGTAAATATTACTGATATAAATAAACTGTGAAAATATTGTTCATTTGGTTAATATTTCAGTGAATATGTATCATGTTGAAAAATTTGGTGATCAAAAGTATCTTTTTTTGGTAATGAAAAAGATTGATACCCTAAAATATATTCAATACACAAATTCATTCATAATAGATTAAGATTACAATATGATAGGAACTATTCAGAGAAAGTCATAACGATTTTGTAGCGTTTATACAGTGCATTGACATACATGTATTCAGTAAAATAGAAGTAATTTAAAACTGGAATTATGTTCCTGTTTAAAATTACCACATCTTCATTGTTTATCATAATACACAACTTCTAGTACTAAGGCCTTATGGATTGATTGATTATTCCAGTAGAATATAAAAAATCCTTAATGAACGACCCTAGTAACGAGTAACGGCGAGAATACAAAAAAAGAGGTGGTCATGAAATGATGATGACGATGAATTAACAGCATGAAACATTTCGATTCGATATTCTATCATAGTATACTATGATAGAATATCGAATCGAAGTGTTTTTATTGTTCGTTTAATTGCTTCATCTATAGCAGATTTGAGCTAATGATTTCTCAATTTCTTCATTTGATGCTTTCTACTCTGAAACTGTCAAATATTCTTCTTTCTCATCAGGAGCGGTTAACGCAATATAACTTTGTCCGTGGATAAATTAATACTAGAAGAGGGGTTCCCTCCAGTCCCATTTTTAAAATAAGATGTTCTTTCGGAGTCCAGTGGACGAGGATTGTTCTCATACAACATTAATATTTTATTAATATCAATCAGTGCGGAGTCATGACTTATATCCCGAACCGGATATTTATCCCGATACGATTATCTCGATTGGGCTACAAATTCCGATCGGGATATAATCAAGATTCGAACCGGGATATATCTCCCATTCGAGATATCGTTGTATCTTGATGACTATATTACTAAACATGTTCAAAAAAGTCTTGAAAGTAAATATAATCATCCACTGATTGTCTTAAGTGAGGCTTAAAAGTCTTGAGTGGGAAGTTAAAAGTTTTTAGTGAAAAATTATTTTGCCTTCGGTACCTGGCAATCTCTTCTTTTTCACATGTCAGGTATACCACCTGGAAATCCGATTCGTAAAACCCCCATATATCAAAAGATGCATTAAAGCCTCCTCTACAAAATGCTGAAAACTGTAGATCTCTATCTCGCTTCATCCTGGAGTTATTCAAACAAAAGCCACGGATACTGTATTTTGAAATGGATAGTAGGTTATCATTATCCGATACTTTGGAGTTCCCATGAATTCATATGCAGTTTTGAGTGCTCTATCCGATGGCGATCTTGGATTTCAATAATCAGCTTTTATCTTTTTCCAAAACGAAAGATTTTTGAAAAAAAATCAAAAACCGGATATATTTATATCCCGATCAAAATACACGATTTTTGATCGAATTTTTATGCAGTACCCCTAAGGATGCATATAGCCGACCCCCGTGGAATCTGAATCAGTTTTGAATCTTCTTTCGAATGGCACTGTCCGTTTTTATTTGGTTCTTAAGCGGAGGCTAGAAAAATGATTGATTGATTATATAGACCGATCAGGCTATACAAATTATCCCGATCGGGATTTGCAGCCCAATCGGGATAATAGTATAGGCTGATCGGGATTTTATCCTGATTGGGATAAAAGTCATGACTCTGCACTGTCAATTGTCGTCGTACGCTGAAATGTCAGGGCTTGGTCTTGTTCATCATTCTAAGCGGATGATATGTAACGGACATTTATTTCGACAATCGATTGTTATTAGTTTTAGGTGTTGTGTTCAACTAACTGTTTCGTTTCATTATTCTCTATCAGATGAATCAAATATCGAGATACAACGTATTGATCCCTATAGCATGAAACCTGCAAATTAATTGTATGAAATTAATAATAAATGATCTTTTAATGGGGAGCGGAATTTTTTAAAGTCTTCAGAGATAGTTTGAATTTACTTTTTTTTCTAATGACTTCCGAGCCAGCAGAAATAACGACTTTAACCAAACAAGAAGATATCCATCGCACCTACGCTATCGCCTAAATCCGTCACGGACCTAGTATACTTGTATATTTTATGTTACTGGTCTAATAACGAGGAAACCACTCCAGGTGTCCACCTTTGATTTCAGCCATCGTTTGACGATACATAGGGAATAGCGTCCTAGTAAAAAGACTAAAAGGATTTGGACCGATATGTTTCTTAAAGGCGGCCTTTTTATTTCTAACTTTAACATAAATAAAGATACCAGCAATGGCTTTTGTACATAGTTTCTCTTTGAGGAACGGAAGCCTAGCTTTCTGTTTCTGTTTTCCTGGAGCTTGTTTCACAAAAAGACTTAAGTATTCCACTTAAGTGGATTTTTAAGGGAAAAATGAAGTAGTACTGAAGTGACACATAGATTATTTTTATGGAATTTTTTGAAGAAAATCCTCGTAAAATGTTTTTAGTCTAGTTATCGCGAATCTGATTACAAAAGGCAGTAAAATAAAGAAGTTACAAAGTATAACTTAAGCAAAAGTTGAGTTTTTCTGAGAAGCAGGCTCCTGCTTGTTTCTCTCTCTACTTTCGTGTTGTTACGAAAAAACAGTTTGTTTCTTAATGAAGGATAAAATTAAGTCGTTGTGATTTGAAATGAAGAAAAGTGTGTGTTTTCTAACTTTGTCGAGAAAAAGGTAAACATCTGGTATTTGTCCTGCAGGACAGCGCGTCCTGCCCTGCCGTGCCTCAATGGACAGGGCTGGAAGAAATTTTTTTTATGAGTCATTCTTTAGACTGGAGCGAACCGCACAGGACTGGGCAGGGCATACATCACTTACGGTATGGTTTTAACTTTACGATTAATCGAGTTGACCACTGTACTTCAAGATCATGTCACCAAAACCAAGACAGTATAGATTTTTATGACTTTTATATACACTAAGCTGTCATCGTTAATTTCCATATATTTATTTGTTCTAACGAGAATCCCATCATCTCAAGCTTCTACGATTTTGAACAAAGCCAGATTTCAAAAGCAAGAATAAGTAAAACGATACAATCTTAACAGAAAAAGAAATTTTTATGATGCAAGATTTTTTCCTTAATGTCGGATATTGAGGCATAAAACAAGTGCCGATAGTGGTTTATCGGAAATCCTTCACCAAACCAGTGGAGACAACGTCAAAACGCATCGAAGAAGCTTGAGATAATTGCACTCTCAGGCGTTAGAACAAATAAATATATGGAAATTAACGATGACAACAGGATTAAAGAATTGACAACAAATTAGATCGTTGAAAATTCTTATGAATAATAATCATTTGATATTCAAGGACACTTAGCAAAGTGGCATGACAA